GTCAATTCAAAAAGGGTGAAGATCGATAGACAGAAGTGGAGGTCTAATGTGATTGGAATGTCTAAAAGTCAGGAAACAGTTGCAGCAGTTAAGCAATGACAGTTACAAGATTTAAGGAGGTCATGCGATCGTGGGCTAGAAAAGAAGGAAGGCATGGTTGAGATTTGGGAATTATAAAGGCAGTAAAGGAGCAAGAGAGGACATCAATAACACAAAGAACTAGTTTTAGACATAGTTTTATCTTAGGAGTAGTTCTATCTTAACTTATGAGTAGTTTCTCTCTGCAATTTGTAAGCTTTGTAAACATTGGTGATTTCATCTTGAAGTTATCTTTAGTTTGTTCCGTTTACCTTGTTCGATCTTGCTGATTGTAACTTTTGTTCCAAAGAAGTCCTTGTACTTTTGAGGCATTTGAATAAAAAACATAGCAGCTTAATTAGTTTGTTCAATTATTTGTTTAAATTATTGTTCAAATCTTGTCGATTGGGAGTGAGTATAATTTTTACTAACAAGTTGGAAAGGAAGAACTTGAAAAAACATGTAGAGTGCAATGTGCAAGTGATTATGTGATTGGATACAAGTGATACTTCCCCCAATAAATTATTCAGACATCTCCTAGATAAGTCAAATTACAAGATTTCAATAATGACATTCAACTTGTTTAATTTGAGTTTTTTGAATTCACTTTTCAGAAAATTGAAACTTTTTATTTTTCATATATATATTTTTGTTTTTATTAATATTTTAAGAAATTTTTTTTTTTTTAAATTTTGAGATACACCTAATATAAATATACTTAAAAAGTATAATATTTGTGAAAAAAAATATTTAAAAAATTCACTAAATGCCAAAAATACAAAACAAAAAAAAACAACAAAACAAAACAAAAAATTCATTATATTTTTCGTATTCTTGTACATTTATTGATTTTTAAAATATTTTTTTATAAAAATTTTACTTTTTAGATATACCTAAGTAAGGTGCATCTGAAAAAGTAAAAAATTTGCTTAAAATTTTAAAAATATTCACTAAAAACAAAAAAAAAAGCCAATTTTTTAAAAATTGAATTTAAAAAATTAAAATCAAACACAATAATTAGTATTACTTTGAAATTATTAACAAAAATTCTCCCTTTATAATACTATGTTATAATACCAAGCACTAAAATGCATTCAAAAGAATCTTGATTGGTAGCTCGAAAAAGCCCTCTCCCGAATCCCCTGAATTTGAAAAGAAAAAGAGAGAAGAAGAAGGAAAGGAGGGGCCAACATCAACCAGAGGGGGGCTTAAGCAGAGGCGGAGGCAGAGGAGGGGGCAGAGGCGGAGGCAGGGGGCAGAGGCGACGGCGGGGCTGGGCTGCGACGACGAAAACCGGACTGGGCTGCGACAACAACCGAGCTGGGCGACGATCGACGATCGGCGAACCTCTCTTCTCTTCCCCTCTTCTTCTCTCTTTCTCTCCCTCTTCCTCTCTGCGTTTCAGAATGAAAAAGAAAAAAAAGAAAAGAAAAATGTCCAAAACGACGTCGTTTTGAGCATTCGGGGGATTCAGGGAGAAAAGTTTCAAGCTACAAAACATTATTCGCATTCAAAATTATTATTGAACATACCGGACTGGGCTGCGACAACAACCGAGCTGGGCGGCGATCGACGATCGGCGAACCTCTCTTCTCTTCCCCTCTTCTTCTCTCTCTCTCTCCCTCTTCCTCTCTGCGTTTCAGAATGAAAAAGAAAAAAAAGAAAAGAAAAATGTCCAAAACGACGTCGTTTTGAGCATTCGGGGGATTCAGGGAGAAAAGTTTCAAGCTACAAAACATTATTCGCATTCAAAATTATTATTGAACATTTTATATTTTAATTTTTTAAATATCATTTTATCTAAGTCAAATTATAAATAAAGGCAAAATTCTAACAAACCTCCATCTCTCTCTACACTTACTTTCAACCACTCGTTGCACCTTTCCAATTACGATCACTACCAATTCAACCGTCACTCTCACCCTTATCTTTATGCTCACCCTCATTTTAACTCTAATCGCCACCTCTTAATCCTCTCCAATTATTCCACCATCTTCAGCCATTCTCCACATCCGGCTACTGCTCTTAATCTTTATTGGTGGTGATATACAGGATGGATGGTGGGGGTTAGGATAAGAATTAGGGCGTGAGATAAAAGAGAAATGGGTTGTTGAGAACTTGAGAAGAAAGGAGAAATGGGTATGAAAGGTGAAATGAAATGGGACAACTAAGAAAATGTTTGGGACCCATAAAGGAGGATATTCACAACCTTATTGATGTATTGATCATTGATGTGTTTTAATTTTTTTTTTCTATATCTGATAGTGACATGAATGGTTCAGATTATTTTAGGGGTTGATTGCGAGTTTTCAAAAAGAAAAAAAAAAATTTAAATTTAAGATTGAGATATCTCAAGAAGAGGTGACTATTTATGATTTTTTTAAAAATTTTAATAAAAAATATATATATATATATATATTTAATTTTTATATATTTTTTTATTTAGTAAATTTAAAAAGAAAATTACAAATTTTATACTTTTTAAGAATATATAATATATATGAAGTGAATTCAAAATTTTATAAAATGATTAAAAATAATTTATTAAAAATAATAAAATACAAATTAAAATTTCAAAAAACTATTTTTAAAATTTCCACACCAAATAAAGCGAATTTATTTATTTATTTATATTTTTTTTGAAATGCATGTGCGTTGAAATACGCATTGTGGAGATGTATGGAAATTGTCGTCGTGTTAAGCTTCACATCTCTTGAAAAAACCATTTGTTTGATTCTTCCCAAAACGATAAAAATGTTGTGTGCTTCCGCAAGTCCTCTCTTCCTCGGTGAGACTATTAACTTGCCCAATCAAATTCCTCTACCTCATCAAAGGTTTCAAAACACACTGAATATGTTTTTGGGTCAATTATTTGCTCTACTTTAAATGGTCATTCTCATGAACTTAAAAAGGTATTTGCAAAACAAAAAATATGTGAAAAATAGTTATATTTTGTTCATATTTTATCTATTTTTTTAATTTTTTTTTTCAAATCTCTACCAAAAATCTTGAATCAAATACAACATAAATTCTCTAATAAAATGATCATTATTTTATAATAGAGTATAATGATTCTATTTGTAATATATTTTTTATTCAACTAAACATGATAATAAATATATTAATAAAATTACTATTTCATTCCACTATATTCCAGTGAACCAAGCACTACTTTAATTTAACAAAAAATATACTGACTAAATTAATGAAAAATTAATTGCTAAATTACTAGCTTACCCTTACACTATATCTCAACTGCTCACATTTTTCCAACCATTCACACCCAACATCTTCTCTCCCCATCACTATTGTCTCGACTTATACTCTCTTTTATTAAGGTTGGTTTGGGATGTAAATTGACTTTTTGAGTTTTTTACTATTTTAATCTGAAATTAAAAAATCTCGTTTAGAATAAATTTTTTAATTTTTTTAGCTTTTGTGGGAGAAAAAATGAAGCGCTATTTTGAGAAGTGGGTTAAAAGCCACTTCCTAACTTTTAACCCACTTCTCTCTCACAAAAAAAAGCTAAAAAATGTCAAAAAACAACTTTTAATCTTCTCAAAACACCCCAAAATGATTATAGTTTGAATATAATATTTTACCTTTTTCAGACTAAAATAACCAAAAAGCCAAAAAAATTGACATGCCAAATGAAGGTTATGTCGCCACCACCACCAGCCCATCGCCCTTTTCTTCCTTAAACAACAACCCATCCACCACCACCACCACCACCACCTTCACTTGCCACATTCTCCCCTCTCTCTCTCTCTCATCTCTATTTTTCTCACTTTCTCAGGCGCCACCACCACCAACCCCCGCCACCCAACTATCTTCACCCATTTTTGTCAGGAGAAAAAATGAAGCGCTATTTTGAAAAGTGGGTTAAAAGCCACTTCCTAACTTTTAACCCACTTCTCTCTCACAAAAAAAAAGCTAAAAAATGTCAAAAAACAACTTTTAATCTTCTCAAAACACCCCAAAATGATTATAGTTTGAATATAATATTTTGCCTTTTTCTGACTAAAATAACCAAAAAGTCAAAAAAATTGACATGCCAAGTGAAGGTTATGTCGCCACCACCACCAGCCCATCGCCCTTTTCTTCCTTAAACAACAACCCATCCACCACCACCACCACCTTCACTTGCCACATTCTGCCCTCTCTCTCTCTCTCATCTCTATTTTTCTCACTTTCTCAGGCGCCACCACCACCAACCCCCGCCACCCAACTATCTTCACCCATTTTTGTCCATTCTCTCCTTTACACCCGCCACCATCACTTTTCACTCTCTCACACACTCACCATGTCTCCATCCGTCTTTATCCTCCTCTCTTTTTCTCACTTTCTGAAGCCCCACCACTTCTGCCCCTTGTAAACAGTATCTTGCACAAAGTGAGAGACCCAGAAGAGCAAAGTGTAAAACAACAATTCCTTCTCCAATTGATACCAACATTTCTTTCCTCCCACTTTCTCGGCTTCTTTTGCAGTTTGATTCTTTCTCATCTCTGGTACAGAGGTGATTCTGTGTATATAGACATTACTCCGCCAACTACAATGATCTACACCCACATCTTTAATTTTTTTTCTTCAAATTTGTGTATATATCTATGATGATTAAATTGGAGAAATGAAAATAAAACAACTTTATTTTTAATTTTTTTTTGAAGAAAGGGTAAATTGGTATTTTAATGAGGAAAACTCTTCTCACCAAAAGATTTGTCAAGAAATTTACCGACGATGGAAAGTGTGGTCGAAATTCAACTAGTGTATTGTGTGGACCATGCTTAGAATAACTCCAAACCACACATTGATATTTTCAGATAAAATTCTAAGTATAATATAATGTCACCACAAGCCACCAATTAACACTATTTAACAACACTTATAACACAATTTTAAATTTTAACAGAAGCCAATATAAATGCGTCAAACTAAGGACCACAACAGGGGCAAACCACGTCAATGTAATTTGCCGTGTGCATTTTTTTCTCAAAGCTTAAAATACAAGTGAGAAATTTCCATATGCAACCTAGGTAGTTAGGTGAAAATGCATTCATAGTTAAGAGAGGCATACAATTACAGAGTTCAAGCATCAGAAAATGATGAATACTAAATTACTAATAGCCTCTGCTGTACAAATGACCAAAAGTTAGAAATCTTTCTTCCATGGACAATCAATCAAGAGAATTTACCTACAAGTACCTGATGCTTGAGCTAATCCGGCCTTCTGCAGAACCAGAATTCGAAGAAACAACTACTCCAATTGAACCTAAGAACATATATTACTTGTCTTGCCAACAAGGTGCACTTAAGGGTTCCAGCAAAAGTTGGAAGTACAAGTCGACGAACAATATGCTAAAAGCTTGCATATTTTTCATAATGTACTTGGTTCTTCCACAAAAATATCATCTCGGGGTCAATCTGTCTTGCCCTGCCTGAGTCTGACGCTGCACGTTATATCAAGACCACATTTTAAATTTCGTCACCAAAGATAAAAGATAAAAGATAAAACATCATACAGAACACTTGAGGATTAAAGGCTTTTCTCATCTGCCATTTTACATCAACAGGTCCCTGGAGGTAAATTATCCAGTAAAAAAAGAACATGATCGACAAGTTTCATTTCCTTCCCAAACTATCATGCATTTTTCGGTTGTCCACAAGACAACACGCCAGTGAGAAATTGATATGGATCTATTGTTCATTATTTAAAAAATCAAAGGATGAGTTTCATCTAACCCCATAGGAGTAGTCAGCAGCTATGTTATATGGATTTGGGTATGAGTATCAGATATGGGTGTAGGTGCATATTAAGAGGTCAGATTCATCAAACCTCAAATTTAAACGTATGCAGACTAGGCAAAAATGAGTTTTATTTTCATATCATTAACATGTTATGTGAGATAAAGTAGTGTTATATGCAATATAAGTGTCAAAAAGACATTTTACTTATTTTATAGCAATTATACAATAATAAATATATATAGTGATAGCATTAAAAATATATATACATATATATATATATATATATGAGAAGTGTCTGATGAAACGTGTCGGGCACATTCCGCACCCTTGTCCAAGTGTCAGGTACCCAACACAAGTATTTGATTTATTTTGAGAAGTCCATGTCACTTAGGCCAGCAGCAAGAACCACATTGGTCTAATTATGAAACATTTTAGTGGATACAAATTTAACACTAATGATCAAAAGCGCATTTTGAGCACAAAGACCAGTAATAAGCCTCTAGCTTGCAAAGGTCTCAATATTAAATATTTATTGCCTTCAATAGCAATTTTTTCTTTTTCTCCTAGCATTCTGGCAGTGGACTTAGAAAAGCTCCATTAAATGAAGTGGTTTCAGTCAAATAAGGATGTGTTCCCCCAAGCAACTCAACTAAACAAGAATACTATGAGCAAATTTGTACATAGCATGTAAAATCAGTCTATGTCAACTTACAGCTAATAAATTTACTTTTCAGAAAATAATTACTTGTTTCAGATAAACCATTACACATTGCCAATCAAGATATGCTCAAGGCATTACCTGCGTCGCATATGATGAGCTTTCTGCCAGGAACTTAACATACTCCTGTTTTTTTAAATCAAAAATTAACTTTTCATGGTCCAATAATGATTGTTCTCTCTGCATATCTTCCAGTATTCTTTCTTTTTTCCATTTCATCTCCTTTATTCGCTTTTCTGTTTCAGAATAGTTCAAAGGTAGATTTGATGTCCCGCAACTTTTAGGGAATTTCACATCAATGTCTTCCCTTCAATCAGATAGATTCAATAGGAAAGAAGCACCAGCAGGGAAAAATATCAAAATTATAGTTAGAATTTCACAACTGCATCAAGATAAAAGACATACAAATTTGATATGATGACAGTACAAAGATAATAGACATCTAGCCCACTAGCAAAGCCAATGATGCAAGGAAAAAAGTTTAATTTTCACTGACAGAACCGTTAGATAAAATTCTACACTTTGCCATGTTTGTTTGGGCAGAATATATTAGATAAAATTGCATTCCTAGAACTGTTAGTCTTGGGATTATCTATCCCTTTGAATTGTGTATCATATCTCATATTTGGATTGACCCAGGTCCCAGGATTACGAGGAATTGACAAAATCCTATCAGTTCTGTAATTTTACCAATTAGTCCAAATCTCTTCTAGTCCCCCATATGGGGATACCATGTCCTGGTGGACTATTAGTCTGTGACCCCAATTTTCTTTGCCAAACGAGGGATATGTATTTTGTTGGATGATTAATCCAATCCCAAGGTCATGTCTACCCAACAAACATGACCTAAGTGTGCATAAGCCCCTGTAAGACTTATATTGTTATTTGACAATCCTAACACATATGAACAAGCAAACAGAATTATGCCTCCAATGTCAGAAATAACTGAGAGCTTCTCCATGCACTGCTAGAGCGGCATTCTAGAATTGGATGGATAACTTCTTCAGAAACAGCCATAACAAACTTAATCTTATAGCCACATACATATTGAATATCCACTAGTGGTAGAAATAAATTCAAGTGGATCGCAACTGCTCGGCCACTCCTGAGCTAGCTTTTGAAGGCAATGTAGACACAAAACGCACATAACAAAACTTCTATTGTCAAAAAGCAAGAAAGCATATTTCAGCCACCTAGGTTGACAATTAATACATATATTTTTACAATATTGAATATCCACTAGTGGTAGAAATAAATTCAAGTGGATCGCAACTGCTCGGCCACTCCTGAGCTAGCTTTTGAAGGCAATGTAGACACAAAACGCACATAACAAAACTTCTATTGTCAAAAAGCAAGAAAGCATATTTCAGCCACCTAGGTTGACAATAAACCATAACTTCAGAAAAGGGTCTTAATTTCAAAAACAATTTCATTAGAAGTAAGCAATAAACATTTTTTAAGAGGAAATTTATTATCAAACATAATTGAAAAAACATTGCCATATCAGGCAGGGATTCTTACCGATTGCCCAGAGAAAACACACCAGTAGTCTTTACCATCCCACCATCTAGAGATAGGGCTCCATCCCTTATATAAGGAAGAGCCTGTAACATGTCTTCCCTCGTTCTGTAGACTTGAAGGCGAGAAAAGAGATTATAAAAAAGAGTCTCCCTAAGGCCCAGCCCATTGGCTGTGAGACGATGTAAATTGGCACTATCAATATTAATCATATTCACAGCAAACCCAAGAAAGCCAGGTGGAGATTCCCCACCGAGCAATCTTGGCTTCAAAAGATCAAGCCTCCTTTGTGGGTCATTAGTAACAAACTCACCAACATACGGCCTGATAACAAAAAGAAATATTTTTAGAAAATCCACAATTAGAACTCCAGACTGCACAAAAAAAAGATGGTACATGGATCAATACCGTAACTCTTCGAGACAGATGACAAGAAAGCGGCCATCCAAATGTCTCCCTATGGAAGTTCCAAGCCCATGAAGACCAGTACTTTTATTTATAGAACCATCTTTTTCATATGTTTCCAGAGCTTTAACACCATCATAAGTCTTACAGACCACTGCCAACATGGTTTGTATCCCCAAGTACTCCGAGAGAAGCCTGTTTCCATATTGAGAAAATATAAAAATTTCAAGTATCCTACTATAGGTTCCTGATAACAAGAATCTGAATACCCATAATCAACATACAAAATGAGTCCAGTAAAATGTCTTTTTAGATGAGACAAACCAGTAACGTTAGCAAGCCCACTTAACATCTACATTCATGTTGCATCCTTTGAAAAAATACACACACCCATGCACACTTCAAAATGAACCTAATAATACACAGATCACTTTCCCAGAAGACATCTATTCAATCAGTAGAGCCCTATATGTCATTACTGCAGAACAATATCAAAATGGCTGAAAAATAATTGAACACCTAAATAAGAGGTAATGACTATAGTAAAATTCCATGGTAAACAACGAAAAACACGAAAGATTGCAAGTTCAAACCAACCTGCTGAGGTTGTCATCATCTACTTTCCCAAGTGTCGCAACAACACCTAACACATCCTTGGTCAACAGAAGCTGAGAAGAACCACTGCCATGACAAGTTTTCAGTTGGCACAAAATGCCAGCTGCAGATTTTTCATGCCTTATTATGTGTTCTGCTGTTTCCTCCTCACTTTCCACGTGGCTATTATCCTCATCGTTGATCATAGGGGCACTTGAAGAATGGTATTTCCCAAGACTAACTGAGATAATACTTGTCAGGAAAAAGAAATATAAGAGATTGATAGAAGTTAATCATACATAATCGCAAGAGAATCAAGGTCATAAACTTCTTAATAATCAAAATAATTTTGTTTCCAAAGTGGTGTTACTTGAGCTGCTAAAGTTTAAAAATAAACCGTACATGCCTACAAATAAAGTTAAGTGCAGATCTTATCAACTTCACACCCTAATTTAATTCCATGCCAGGATAATCAGAGAACAGGAAGTTGATCTTTGGTGTGAACAAAGTATAGGAAGGTTATTGATGCAATTTAATGAGTTGTGCTCACTAGGGTGCCATATGGCCTCCACTGAGGGCTTAGGACACAACTTATAAAACAAAAAATTGCACCTTAAAAAAAACAAAACAAAACAAAACAAAAAGTGAAGTGTAACAGACACCCATCCCATGCCTTCAGTTTTGGGATGGCAACATTTACCAATCAAGCTTATTTCCAGTGGTCACGATTTTTTTTTTCAAAAACAAGATATTTCAAAACATATAGTCAGAATATTAATCTTATTGAGATAAATCTTATCCAAAACACTGCAACCTAGTCCTGGAAAATAGAAAGTCATCATCATCCATTTTATCCACTTGTCAGCAGGCTGCCTATATTTCATAGCTCTTTGTTTTTCCAGAATTTGGGAAATCGCCACAACATACCTTGCATATCAAGAATGGAGTCGTCCAAGCTGTTTTTCTGAGACTTCATAATTTTGATATTATCTTCATGCTCTTTTATTTTTTGACCAAGTAAGTCTATATAGTCAAGGTGCTTCTGCAGAGATTAAATCAATACAAAATCACTCTGGTTGACCAATTCCCTCTTTATGGATATCAGTCATTCAAAAAGTTATGTGCACTGTGAACTAAATCTTTGTCATAACCAAAATACAACCTAAAACACGAGATAAATTCATCATAATATTACAACAGAACTCAGCAGTTTTCAAATAATCCATGACTTTAGAAGTATATACAAAATCCATAACAACCTTAGTAGTATATATAACTGTTTCTCCCTGACTGCTTGGTCCATTTTGCCCTTCATCCCTTGCAGTTAGACCAGAATCATTCTGACCTACATGCTTCAGTGCTGATGGATCTTGAATAGTTAAAGCCTTTGTATGGACCGAAAGCTGAAAAAAACAAATCATCAGGTATTAAAAATATTTTTACAAGCAAATACAACAGCAAAAAGCTTACACATATCTTCTGAAGATAATATACTGTGCCTTCTTTCATTTATTTGCATTGATGCACTAAACAATAAAATATGATCAATATAAAAAATAGAACAAGATTCTTTTTTAAACCAAAGAACAATTTGTTGCTTATGAAGATTGCCTTTGAATCTAATGGACACTGAATCAAGAGCCAAGTGAAAAACAAACTGCAAAGGCCCTAATCATGCAATACATCAGGCTTTCAAAAAATTGTGGAACTCTATTTTCAGACGCTAACTTAAGCACCTCTGTATATCAGCACAGCAGTCAACCTTTTGAAATGGTATGCCACCTACAACATATAGGGATGACCATTTGGCAACCAACCTTTGAAAAATCCTCAAAAGGTTACTGAGCAATCGAAAACTTCTCGTGGGGGAGGTGGGTGAAAGATAATAATTATGAGATCAAATTTAGATGCTTTGGTTCTAGCCACATTTTCTTTCCACCGAATTGAGTCCTTTACTAAGAAGCACAGACAATTCTAAGAAGGTGGCATATACATGGCAGTATCCGTCGGGAACCGACACTTATTGGACACTTCCCGACACGTCTCCAATACTAGTCAAAACGTGTCCTATTTTTTTATAAAGTTTTTTTAGATCCAGACATTCTTTGGACACTCATGTCCATTGCTTAAACATGCGTGTCCACAAATTAGACACATAAAACTAATTATAAGTTTAAACTAAATAACTTAGGATACAAATTACAATATAAAGGAAAAAAATAATGTAAATTTATAAAGTGTTATATTACATTATTTTATTATCTTTGAATGAAATTTTCATATATATGATATATAATAAATATATAAAATTATATATTTCGTGCATATCTCCCATGTGTCATATCCTACATTTTTTGAAAATTGACATGCTTGAGTGTCCATGTCGTGTCCATGCTTCTTAGGTCCTTTCTATATTACCAAACCAAACTAAGCCTTAAGTCCCATCAAATGGGGTCGGCTACATGAATCCTTCTTCTCCACGCGGCTCTATCAAAGGCCATTTCGTTAGTCAAATTAAATAGATTCATATCTCTATTTACAACGCTAACCAACGTTAATCTAGGCCTACCCCGTCCCGTAACACTTCCATCTACCATTACAACATCGCATCTCTTCACTACTGCATCTATTGGTCTCCATTGAATATGACCAAACCATCTTAATCGATTTTCTCTGAACTTATCTTTTTTTTTTGGGTAAGTATCTCAACTTATCTTCTATCGGTGCTACTCCTACCCATTCTCGAATACACTCATTCCTAATTCTGTTTTGTCTAGTCTTGCCACACATCCACCTTAGCATTCTCATCTCATCTACACTCATCTTATCTACATGTTGTTTTTTGGTTACCCAACACTCCGTCCCATATAACATTGCTAGTCTAATAGCTGTTCTATAGAACTTACCTTTAAGTTTAGTGGGTATTCGTTTATCGCACAGTACCCCAGACGCACTTCTCCACTTATACCATCCTGCCTTAATCCTATGGGCCACATCTGCATCAATCTCCCCTGCTGTTGTGATAATCAACCCTAAATAACGAAAATGTTCACTCCTAGGCAGTTCTTGATTTTCAATCTTCACTTCTCCTCTGCTTTCATTGTTACTGTTACTGTTACTAAATTTACACTCCATGTACTCTGTCTTAGTTTTACTTATCCGAAATCCTTTAGATTCAAGAGTTTTTCCCCAAATCTCCAACTTCGTATTAACTCCTCCTCTAATCTCATCTACTAGTACTATATCATCTGCAAAAAACATACACCATGGCACGTTATCCTGGATATTTTTTGTCAACTCATCCATAACTAAAGCAAAAAGATAAGGACTTAAGGTAGATCCTTGATATAACCCTACAGTAAAAGGAAATTCATTTGTCTCTCTAGCAGGCGATCTAACAGTGGTCATCATCTCTTCATACATGTCCCTAATCACATCAATGTAACATTTTGTCACCCATTTCTTTGCTAACACCCACCATATTATATCCCGGAACACTCTATCATATGCTTTCTCAAGATCGATAAATATCATATGAATGTCTCTTTTCTTTTCTCTATACTTTTCTATTACTCTCCTCAAAAGATAGATTGCTTCCATTGTTGACCTGCCAGGCATAAACCCAAATTGATTCCCTGACACCTCCGTTATATCTCGCAATCTGCGTTCTGTCACCCTCTCCCACACTTTCATTATATGATACATTAGCTTAATTCCTCTATAGTTGTTACAATTCTGGACATCACATTTATTCTCATAGATTGACACTAAAATACTCTTCCTCCACTCATCTGGCATGTTCTTAGTCAACAAAATTTTGCTAAACAACCTAGTCAACCAAGCAACCTCCTTTTTACCCAAACACTTCCAAGTTTCAATAGGGATATCATCTGGTCTTAAAGCCTTATTTGATTTCATCTTCTTAAGTGCTATCTCCACTTCAAAATTCCTAATCCTGCGATAGAACCTATAGTCTTGGTTTATCGTATTACTGGCTATTTCTTCCCTTATTGCCGTACCTCCATGTTCCTCATTTAATAATTTCTCAAAATAGTTCTTCCATCTTTCCTTAATCTTTTCATCCCTCATCAATACCTTAGAATCCTCACTCTTGATGCACTTAACTTGATTAAGATCTCTTGTTTTTCTCTCCCATATCTTAGCAAGTTTGTATACCCTCTTCTCTCTCTCCTTGCTGTCTAGTCTAGTATATAGATCATCATAAGTTTTCAATTTAGCCCCTGTCACTACTTTCTTGACCTCCTTATTAGCCAATCTATAGCTCCTAAAGTTTTCCTCAATTCTATCATTTTGCCACCTTTTAAAGCACTATTTTTTTGCCTTAACTACCACTTGAACCTCTTCCCTCCACCACCAAGTTTTCCTAGAGCTGGGTCCCGTTCCTTTCGACTCTCAAAGCACTTCCCTTGAGATTCTCCTCATACAATTGGCCATCGAGTTCCACATAGTGTTAGCATCATCTTCCAAGGTCCAAGTACCTTCATTATCCATTCTATTCTTAAATATTTCTAATTTATCTCCTTTTAGGTCCCACCATCTCGTCCTACGACGCTCACCATCCTTCCTAGCTTGGTATTGCCCTCTAAAACATAAATCTAGTACCAAAATCCTATGTTGAGAGGTCAGGCTCTCTCCAGGAATCACCTTACAATCATTGCATTTTAGGCAGTCCACTTTTCTCACTAAGAAGTAATCTATTTGGCTCTTAACTGACCCACTCTTAAAGGTTATCAAATGCTCCTCCCTTTTCTTATACATAGTATTGGCCACCACCAGGTCAGAAGCCAACGCAAAATCTAAGATACTCT